AGAGAGAGGGACTCAGCTCTACTGTCTGGGCACTAAAGGCCAGTACACTGATACTGGACTGAGAGAGAGGGACTCAGCTCTACTGTCTGGGCAGTAAAGGCCAGTACATCAATACTGCACTGAGACAGAGTCCAGTCCACTCATGCTGCACAGAGAGAGAGGGACTCAGCTCTGCTGTACCCTGCCTATGCTGTATTTCTAGAGGAATTCTGCCCTTGCAGGGCGCTATAACTGATCGGTCTCGTCCTAGGCGCGCCAGGGAGCGGATGTTGGAGCTGGCTAGATCCATGGGGAACGGCTACAGCTGGCAGGAGAAAGGCAACCCACCCAGACCCCCCTCCACACTGCTGGACACCCTGCCTGGGGATTACGCCCTGGTCATCAACGGGCACAGCCTGGTGAGGGGGAGGAGTGTGGGACAGAGCGAGAGAAATAGATGCTGAGCAAGGGGTGGAAGGGTGGAGGCAAGGAGAGGAGTTGAGAGAGGGCCAGGACCCAGGACAGGACAGATGGGGAATAAGTGTATCTTGAAGGTGTCTAGCCATTTGTGTTGGCTTACCTCTAACATGTTGGATAACATGTTCTGTTCTTCTCCCCTCTTCCCCCTACTTCCTTTCTCTCTTTCTTCCTTTCTCCCTTCACCTTGGCCCCTCTCTCCCATGTCCCGCAGGCCCACGCCCTGGAGGCCGATATGGAGCGGGAGTTTCTGGAGACGGCCTGCGCCTGCAAGGCTGTGATCTGCTGCCGGGTCACGCCCCTGCAGAAGGCCCTGGTGGTGGAACTGATCAAGAGGCACAAGAAGGCCGTGACCCTGGCCATAGGGGACGGGGCCAATGACGTCAGCATGATCAAGAGTGAGTGAGGGAGGGGGAGAGAGGCATGACCTCGTCCACAGGGGAGGACATCAGTGTGGGGAGGGAGAGAGAGATCATGACCTTGTCCACAGGGGAGGACATCAGTATAGGGAGGGAGAGAGAGGTCATGACCTTGTCCACAGGGGAGGACATCAGTGTGGGGAGGGAGAGAGAGGTCATGACCTGGTCAAGAGAGGAGGACATCAGTGTGTTGTGGGAGAGAGAGGTTATGACCTTGTCCACAGAGAAGGACATCAGTGTAGGGAGGGAGACAGAGGTCATGACCTTGTCCACAGGGGAGAAAGAGATTGAGAGAAGGTTGCAGACACAAAAAGTGACAAACTTATTCTCGCAAGAGGAGTGCCTTACAGAACTCTTTCGGTACGAGAACTAGGTTTCTAAACATTGCAACACCTTCGGTCTCTCACGCATTTCCCCGTCTGTCTTTCTCACGGTGAACCAAACCAAAGCCTGCCCTTTGTTATTGTTTTTTTGCCCAAACTCGGAAAGGAGCGGTCGTGTCCTTTTTTTGCGCAACTCCCCGAAAGGGAAGCAACAGCATATCAAAAATACAAGCCATAATAAAAAACAGCGAGCAACGGTCATCTGAGATGGGTTGCGAAAAGGCCAGCGGTTTCGCTTCCTCTCTGTCTGCGGGGCGCAGCTCTGAGTCACGGGAAGTCCGGCAGCGCAGTGCTGGGCTGAGATTGCAGCACTGGATCACAGCGGCTGACGTGACCACTTCGACACAGGAGGCTCTCTCATCTGGCACATCT